TTGGACATGTTCACATAACATTTACATGTACATATAAAGACATCACAGGTAGAAGATACTGCATAATCAACTTAAATTGGTATTGTCAGTGTATGGAATCCATCAGGTCATACTCTCATAGTAATAATTGATTAATATTATATATTCTTATTACAGTTTTCCAATATACGAATGAAGTCAAAGCAGGAGAAAGCGAATTCCTCTAAGTCAACACCAGCAGAAGCAGATCATGTGGAAAAAGATTTTGAGAGACGTATGAACAAGGATTTGACAGATCAGGAGGTCATGGCTGCTTTTGAGAGAATGTTGGTGAGTGGTAATATTTATATTAAGGAGCATGCAGGGCATTTGAACTAGTTGACTACTTTGAAATGGTTGACAGTGTCTAACACATCTAATTTTTTGCTGGAGGATTATATTAACCTATGGCCTTCTCTGCTATACCAGTCAAATGCAGATGTAAACATATGCAAAATTTAAATTACTAATTTATATGTTTGCTTATTAAAGTATGTATGAAAGTATTGCGTCATGCAGTGCTGCATTGGAACTCATGAAAAATATCACAATCGTTTATTTCTTCGGCAAACATGTTTTAAAAGTATGAATATAACTGTAAATAATTTCCTTACAAGTAGTAAAATGATAAAACTGCTAGAAATATAGGTTTTGTCATTGTATGTACATTGTAATGAATTTTTTCTACTGCACCATATACTCGGCAAGAAAAATATGTTTATCTAGTTTTATTATATTTAATTTCTAGAGGGTGTAACATTATGGGTATGTTCATTTTCGGTGCGTGTATCAACTCAGGCACATTGATGGGAAGATCGTAGTCACCTTGCCACTTGATTCATATGAACATATCCCATTGCCCTTGATTCTACTAACTTTTCCTATATGCTACCGATGAAGGTCGATTGTCCAAAAATGTCTAGCTAGCTATTTTGAAATTGTTATACAACAAATTACCAAATATGTACCACCAGTTACTATGAAATGTTTATGTTTTCCTTCACACTTCTAAACGATTTTAAAGAGAATATGACAGTCATAAATATTTCAGGTCTGTAAAAGTGTTTTATTGAGATAGTTAAGAGTCTCTTGAGACTTTTTTAATGTACATCACCAGGACTACATAGGACCCTGTGACACTATGGGATATAGTACATTACCCAGCAAGGGCGACTTAGGAGACATGTACAGCCTCAAAGCTACACACATTGAGATATTGTACTGTACTGTAGTAGCCCAAATTTACTATAAATGTACTATAAATTACAATTTTTTTCTCCATCGATATATGGGTATCCAACACTTGAAGAGTTGTTTATTTCCATACTTCAACTAACAAAACTCTCACAGGCTATATACCCAACATTAGTTGCAGGCATACGCAGCTCCATAGCTGGAAAAAAACCTTAGCCCAAGCTAAGAAAACGTGCATGAAAGCTTAGTATGGGCTAAGAAATGCTAAATATGGGTTAAATCTGATCTGTTCATAAGACCCTGCTCAGTTCCTCAGCACAGGCTAACAAAGTGTGAGTGCTAAGGTTGAATTCAGATTTAATAATATATTCATAATTATTTATTTGGTTATGCCATTTCCGACATGACAATCAATGTGAAAACATCTAAAAAATTAAATAACGATGAGACTACTGGTACTTTCTGTTATTCTGCAATTTGCACTTCCTGAATTTGTTTTTGTATTGTTTTAAAACCACAGAACTAACTATACCTTCCTGGTTACTGTACTGAGTAATCATAAAAAGACTAAAGATTGGGTATTCCTTAGCCCAAGCTAACCACTGTTTTCTTCTTTGCTTAAATGGTCTAGCCGATATGCAAATATATGAGATTAGCTTAAATCTGAACACAACTATTATCATATGGGGGTATCAGCTTTTCAGATTGGTAGCCAGGCAACCAAAAACATTTTTCATTCCAGCTCAATCTGAATGATAGTAACGTAGCTATTTTGTTTTGCTTTCCATTTATGTACTGAGATCATGTTGTTAACTGATCTTATCATGGGGTAAACCTGTGTTCTGTTTGTTTGTCACAGTGGTCTATAGATTTATCTTGACATAATTCATACCTACTTGTGTGATATTCACCTACCATTATGTCAACATTAGAGGGTATTGTTTTAATCCAGGGACTTTTACATACATGTTACAGTGTATCTCAGGGTTTAACACTGAACTTGGGTCAAGAGAAGCACTCTAAATCTGGTGGTCATCTGTTTAATCAGTTTACACATGTTTTTCAACATTGGGTTATAATTAACTTGGGGTTGAACCCAGTGTTTTGCTACACCCAAGTTCTGTACATTTTACAGGTGATCTATACACATAAGTACTCGTACTGAGTTCATTGACCTTATTAACACAGCGTTCTCCCCAGACTCTAAGCCACGCATCGCGGCTAATTTACATAATAATACATCTTATTTGCATAATTTTGTTTGCATAATAATTAGTTTCCCCAACAAACATTATAACTGCAATAAAGAAGAGATACATATCTCATATATTTTATATCATTTAAATTTATTGTGTTTTATGTGTGCATCAAGTCAAATAATGTTTGAAATAGAACAGGAAAGAAATGAAAATACTTATAGCCAGTCAGTGAATATATTGTTTATCCGTGGAGGTAACTGGTTCGTCATTATTTTGTGTACAAGTACAGTCAGTTTTAGTGCCAATGTTACTGCCAGTTCATACGAGGGGGGGGTTGATTTGTTTGTTAAATTTGTAAAATCTGCAAGATTGCGGGTTATCAAAATATGAAGAAATTAATAAATCAATAATGCCATTTTTTCTACAACGGCATTTCAAAACTAAAGTCAGCGATTTTTCATTGATCTGTCTATTATTTGTGTAACGCTACGATCACGTAACATTGTCAGTTGACGGCATTGCGTTGAACCACGGTTACTTCTAGTAACCGGTTACTTCTAGTAACTTTTAGTAACCGGTTACTTCTAGTTACTTCTAGTAACCGTGGTTGAACGGGTATTCACCGCTGCTGTTGCGATCATCAGTCCTTGACTTTTTTGTTTACAAATACACAAACTTAGAATGTTTGCTTAATTAAAACGATTCATTGATGATTAACTTAGAAATTACATCAAAATCGCCAACGAAATGTTGTTTTT